AAACGGCCACTTCGACTTGACGACCTTCCCTAGTGAGTACAGTTTGCCACCGCAATGTGACGTCTTGGAGAAAGCCACATGCACTGGCCTAGCGCATCCGAGCAGCGCCCCTGACCACATGCAAAGGAATTTCCGTTTAACCGATTGGGCAGGATTTGCTAAAGTTGATAATCACGTGCAATGAGAGCTCTGTCTACAGAGAACGAAACAGACACGCTTATTGTTGCTCTGCGACTGAGACTAAGCAGCTTAGCTGAAGCCCAGTGTTCCTTCTCCGAGGATTATGCTCCTGTTTGCTGGAATTAAAGCTTGCTGTTTTGGGAAAAGCTTAAATACAATTGATTGATTCCTTGTGCAGGCACTCAGCGCCGATACCCACATGGGACATCTCTAAAAGCTGCCTGCAGCAACGTAGGATACGATCTACTGTCGCCTTTTCTATGACGGCGCTTGAACTCACATTGCAAAAGGTTCGCTTAATTCTGGAAGAACTGGACTGGAACAACGTGACACATCCACCGTACAGCGCTGATGTTTCTCCATAGGAACAAAATTTCGCGCTTTGGCCAGCATCTGGTGGGAGAAAAAAAGTCAAACAACTGCAACTATCTTGAAAACGACCTTATTAAACCTTTCGACCTCAGGTACCCTCACTTTGCGACGAAGCTATCGTCCAGTTACTGCCGAGCAAACGAGTACATACATCTCTGATCTTGCCGCTGATTATACACTGCGTCACACCGAGAACTAACTTTCCGGAGCAACTTCAATTTTCTTTATTTTTTGAAAATTTCTCACTTTGACAATGTCCCAAAAGTATAGTTCCACCGCATATTTTCCCACTGCGTCTCATTTTTTTCGGGTAAAACTGTCTCATCATCATTACTTTTCACCTTTTCCAGGTTATGGCGAGAGGACATTCATTGTCGGACTTCGAAAAAGGGCAGATTATCGCAAAGAAGGCTCAAGGACTGTCGAACCGTCAAATCGCAAGAGAGTTGGGCCGCAGTCATTATGTTATCAATAATTTTGTCAGGGAACCCGCAGGATATGGAATCAAGAAGAGCTCTGGGTCCTCCTTCGCTCTCTGATCGGAAAAGCTTCGTATTTTGAGAGAAGCATCAAATTCTACAGTGTCGTGCAGATAAAGTCAACTTTGAAGCTTAACGTCTCAAAGGAAACTGTTCGGCGTGTCTTGAAGAAGTCCGAGTTCATTCTCAGGAGGAAAATGAGGAAGGCACCGTTTCTGACAGAAAGGCATCGTGATAACCGAACCAACTTTGCTAGGGGTAAAGGACTGGAGTAAGGTTAGCTTATGGCAGCGGTGCCCTACTGCTTGTCTGTCTTGTCTTTTCAGTTTTTTTCCTCCAGGTCGTGTTTTCTGATGAGAAAAAATTCAACTGCGACGGTCCAGACGGAAATCGGTCCTACTGGCACAGTGTTAGGGAAGAGAGGCTTTTTTTGGGCGGAATTTCAGAAGGGGTGGTGTCTTGGTCTGGGCTGCCTTCACATCAACGGGACGTCTGAAGTTGTGCTTCGTATCGAAGAAAATGAATTCTTCCGACTATGTAAACGTCATGCGACGAGGTCTGCTTCCTTCCTGGCGAAGGATTCGGCATGAAAGTCCTGTTTTCATGCAAGACAATGCACCAATTAATGTTAAACACATAAAAGAGGTGCCAAAATTTATTGCGAAAGACTCAAAAGATTCAAAAGAATCGAAGTTTTCACAAAAAATTTTATATTGTTTGTACTCCTTCTATTTTCATCTCAGTAGAAAGGTATCAAACAATAAAAAATTTTGTGAAACTTTGGATTCCCGTTTGAATCTTTCGGTCTTTCGCAATAAATTTTGGGCCCTCTATTTTGTGTTTAAGCATTCAGGTTGCATGAGTCCGGATCAGCGAACAATCTTAAGCACCCAATTAATTCAGCCGACCGAAGCCACTGCGGTGCGTGGTCCAGTCGTCATCTTTTGCCCTGGCCAGCGAATAGCCCTGACTTAAACCCAATCGAGAATGTGTGGGGCTTCATGGTACGCAAGATCTATGCGAACAATGCACGATTCCACAATGTCCGTGAGCTCAAGAAGTCAATAATTGATGCATGGCAGCCGACCGAAAACTGATTTAAAACCTCTATTCGAGCATAGACAACCGCATTTTCCAACTTATTCAAAGGAATGGGGCTGCAGTAGATTATAGAATTAACAATTTATTCATTTTGTTGTACACTTGTTTTATGAATCGATTTGTTTAGTGGAACTATACTTTTGGGACATTGTCAGAAGTGAGAAATTTTCAAAAAATAAAGAAAATTGAAGTTGCTCTGGAAAGTTAGTTCTCGGTGTTGGCATGCAAATTGGCACTGGTAATTACCACATTTTCTATCTAGAGGCTTTTTTGAAAACGTCGTGTAGGGCGGGATATTGTGAGATTTATGGGTGGAACTATACTTATGGGACGCAGTGTACTGTTGACTGCATTCGTCAGAAGAAAGGAAAGAAAACCAAGTAGAGAAAATGCGAAAAAAAGACAAGATTCATGGGACCACCTAATAGCTTGAATAGTGATTTTAAGGCACTGCAATTATCCTCCCATGTGTATGCAGTTATGCATGCATGGTATTGGACCATGTAGCGCGGATGGATCTACTGAATGGGTGGAGGGAGCGAAAAAACTGTGGAGGAAGTTGCTCCGAGAAGATCTTCCTATGATCATATCAATAATAAGTAAGCCAATCATTGATTGTACTCTAGTTTTTGAGGGCTTTCGCAGGATTGCTTAGTTATGGGCAAAACTCTCACGCCAGATGGAAGAGCCCGCATCTCGCGCTTTCCGGGCGAGTGAGCTATCCGTTACGCCACCAGGGCCTCTCCCATCCTGCCAGCTTGACGGCTTTTCTGCCGCAGCCTTACAACACTCGCCTGGGAAGCTTAAGTGCGGGTTCGAGTACCGCCTGGGCTTAGACTGTTGCCCATAAGTCCGCAATCTTGTGATGATTCTCTAGCGTTTCCCGAGGAAGAGTTCAGTTCGTATTTTATGTTTCCATGTTTTCTGTAATAGAAATGGTTTTCATTGCAGAGCGCTTGAATGCTGCCAGTGATGATGAGGTTCTGCCCGCCAACGCTCCTGCATGGCGCCGTCCTGGTGTGATATTTGTGCAGTCGCTGAAAGTGTGTGGTGAAGATATTCCCACTCAGGTGAAGTTCCGCAGCGACTCCCATTTCCCCAATAACGGGATTCGGATGGAAGAGATGCCCATTCCATGGAAATACGATTAGATGCTAGGTCTTATAAGTAGTCCGAAATCTGGGAAGATGCAATCTATTTTTAATGCAAAACGAATCCATTGATTCAGCCATTAAGTCTCTGATAGGAACCTTTTTTGACATCTTTTGTTTTCGTTTACCCCAGACACTTATCCAATGTGATGCTTTTCTTGTCTTTGCCGTCTGTGCTCATCTGGTCAAGGAGTATTCCAGCTCTGTGTTTCACTTCAACTCCCATGTATGTGTACAGATACATGTAGATGACAAAAGTGCCCTTTAGACGTTGATCAACACTTATATGTGATTCAAGATTACCCTAGTAGTCTTCTTTTGTTATATGTGATCATAGTAGCTTTATTCTTAACAATCGTGTGCAATAAAGGCGCGGGTTGAAGTGTATGTGCGCTAAAGATCTGAGAAATTGCAAAAATAATTAGATCACAAACAACTTTAACTACTCTCTTATCCCTAGGACAGAGTAGGCGTGGCATCTGAACAGGCATTGAATGGGTTGATAGTAAGATATTTCAGTTTCAGACATCTGTCATCTTGTTTATTTTTGGACAGAGGCATGACCACGATCATGTCGACATGAAAATATTTCACCAAAAGC